GAATTTTATGTTTGTAGGAATTTGGTATACGTTTTAGTTGAAGTAAACGTGCATGGAAATAATTTAAATATTTGACACTAAGTATTTGTAATGCTTGCAGTATGAATTCGTTGGTGACGTTTATAATATAATAGATGATTTAGAGGTAAAAGTTTTTGGATATTTTATTTATTTTATATGTGGAAATGTTCATATTTGGAAAGGGTATATACTTTTTCGCGATCAGGTAATTTCATATATGTTCTTTTTACCGGGTTTAAAGATTCAGAAAATTGTCATGTATTTTCGTGAAATTTTTCTAATTTATGAGAAAAAAAGCAGTGTACATGGATATAGTGAAGAGTGTGCGCAATGCCATTTTTGTGCAATTCTGGGATGTTTTTTTAAGTAAAAATAAGTCGACGTGTACATGGTTTATGTGTATGTGTTATTTTGAAAAAACGCGTAAGGAGTATGGTATTGTGCACTTTTTCCCAATTTTGCAGTGAATATTTGTCATGATTAAGCAGTTTTGTTAGATAAAATTTCTAGCATAAGTGTAATTTGGCTAGTAGATAGTTGGAAGAAGTGTTCAGTAGATAAAAAGAAAAGAAACATGTCTTTACTTCGTGAAGACAAAATGGCGGCGGGAAAAAAAAAATAGAGGGTTGTTGTAGGAGAGTTGGTCGCCAAATTTTCACCAAAAAATCGCCAAGTTACCATAATCTAAAGATCAACCCCTGCTAGTTTTTGTTTGGACGCCATTTTGTTTTCACGAAGTAAAGGCTTTTTTTTTTACTCAACATTTTTTTTCCAACAATCTGCTAGCCGAATTATGCTTATGCTAGAACTTTTATGGAACAAAAGTGCTTAATCATGATGAAGACTAGATGCGAAATTGGGAGAAAGTGCAGAATCGCAAACTGCTTGCCGCGTTTTTACGAATTGCACATACACGGTATCATCCATGTACACGTCGACCTATTTTCACTTAAAAAAAATCCCAGAATTGCACAAAAATGGCACTGCGCACACTCTTTACTTTATCCATGTACACTGCATATGTCCTAGCTAGTAACCTTTATCGCCTTACCAAAATGTCGCCAAACTACCTGTTAGCATATTCCAAAGAATAGCCAAAATTTCTTCTAATTACTCTAACATGACACCTCATCAATTCAATGAATTTCTAGACCTCATTGAACTATTTATTCAAAAACAGAACACTAATTTTTGTTAGAATATTGCAGAAAAGAGTCATTTGAAAAATAGGAATAAGATATCCCAGAAAAGGATCGTTATATATGTCAAACGCTGTATATATCTAATATATTTATGAATTTGTTGTATGATAATTAAAAAAATCCTAATTGCTAGATTTTATTTTGGAGAGTAAATTTTTTATGGGGTAATGCTTCCTTAAATAAACTTCCCTTAATTAGTTTAAATAATGCATTAAGAAGTATATTTTAAAATATATGTAGGATTTACAGCATTACTAAATTAAATATCACACTTAAAAAAAGCAGTTATTTTTAAGTTAATAAACAACAGCAATTTAAAAAAAAATACTTTAGTTTCTGCCTTATGTAAGTAAATATTATTTACCCTAAATGTAACAGTAATTAGTACTTCAATCAGTCATTCATATATTAATGAACAGCCACTATCTAAAGGTTTATTTTATAAGGTGACTTTTATCTAAAACTCATTGAAGTAACTGCATTTTAATACTTCTTTTTTGTGTTAAAAATTGAATTTCACAATTAGCAAATTTGCTAATGCTCATGCAAAAGTTCTTTAAATTAATGAAAAATTATCAAGATTAAACCTTTCAAAAAGTAGTCATCCATGTTAAGAAAAACAAATATGAAGTCATTAAAATGCGTAGCAGTATTCCATAAAAATCAGCTACATACTAGTGAGTTTCTTTTCTGAATAAATAACAGTTTTCTTAATTTTTTTAAACAAATGGTTTACTCGTCACCACTTGTTTAAAATTCAGAACTCGATAAATTTTTTAATTAGATGAAACAGTAACTTCATACTAATACCAGTATCGCTTTTGCTAGTCTCGTGTCAAATGAATTAGAACCAGATCATAGTAGTCAGATCTTCTTATGAATTATACCAAAGGCTTTTTCTCAAAAGAAGGATAATGCACACAATGTCGAATAAAAATTAGGTTTATATGAACGATGAACGACATGGAAAATAAATGCAAGCTTCTTGTGTCTCACCTCAAAAAAAAAAAAAAAGCTGCGGTTGATTTACACTCATGTCCATTAATTAAGGATAATGCCAGTTCCTGGAAATAAAGCTTCAGAAATAAAACAAACGTGACTTACTCATAAAGCACATTTTTAAACAAAAGATAAAGAACAAAAAAGATGGTGTATATAGGATTCCATTCATAAAAACTATGATTTTTGCTCCCCAAAAACCAAAAATATCTCCCTCGCAAAAGTTTAACATGGCATGGTTGGTATGAAGGTTAATACATTGTACGTCTCCCAGACGATGAAATACAGTCTGTACAAAGTCTAGGCATGCTGATTATCAAATTATCGAGCTGCTCTTGGGAAAGATACTCCACTAATCAAACAATACTCTCCAGAGTTCCAGTACATATGTAATAGGTGCTTGATGGGCTGCAATTTGTTGGCCAAGTATGTTCCACACATACTCTATCGGATTCAATTCAGGTGAGAATGCTGGCCATTCTATACGGGTATATTATATACTATTCCATTCTATTCCTCATATTAAAGGAATTCCTTTACGATGTTTCTGCAGTGAGGACAGCGTTGTCATATATAAGCACAAATTCTGTGCCCATAGCACACCACCTAAACAAACGTACGTGTTCTAGAATGATATCTCAATACATATGGCTTGTCATGGTTCCGATCTGAACACACAGAGCTATTCTGGAGCCCAGTTTAATTCCACCTTAAACGAGCAGTCCTGCACCATTGTAACAGTGCCGTTCAATGATGCTGTCTTAGTGGTTGCGTGTACCTGGAGTTCTTCATATGAAATTCTGACGTTTGAATCAGACTGCAAGCTGAACCTGGGCTTGTCGAAAAACATCGCATAATTCCACTATGACGATGTCCACATTGCATGTTTCTTACTCCAAGCTAACCGCTGGAGACAAGCGAGTTGCCGTGAGCGAAACACATTTGACAGGCCTGCCTGTAGCCCAATCTGTCCCAAACGTCTGTACACGGTTTGTCTTGAAAGTGTCGTACTCGTGGCTAAAGATATCTAGCAAGACAGGTCTGCTGCTGTGCTCCGGCTGCTTCTTTTGGCAGTTACTGCCAAATACCAGTCGTCATTCGGTGTTGTAACTCATTGAATCTTTGCCAAAGCCTAGAGATGACACTTTAGGCTATTCCAAGTTCCTCAGATACTTCCAACTGAGAGCGCTCACATTTCAGAAGGCCGATATTTCTACCACATAAAAAATCATCCACACACGTCCTCTGTGTATAACTATTCGGCTGAGGCACTGAGCGGCTTACAAAAAGCCTTGTGAACAATTTTACTTCTCTGCTACCATTCCTTAAATGCACTTCTCTTACACTCTCGTTACTGTGACGTACTATTGACGTCATCTAATGGCTTCCTGTAAAATACATATTATTCTTGAAGATGTGTGCGATAATTCTACAGGTGAAAATTTTACTTTAGAATGCGATTTCCATGTGATTCTGAGTTATCCTTAATTTATGGGCATGAGTGTAAAAAAAACTCATGTATTCATACCATCATCAAAGGAAGGAAAAAGCAAAGCCCGAACCTGCAATACAAGTCCCTAGTAAAAGCTGAATTTTCTACTTGCGCATGTTACCTCCACGCTAAGGTATCTTGAAATTAAAAATCTGGGATTTCCAAATCCATCATTATTTTCTCACAACAATATTGCTTTAGATTATTCTGTAAAAATTATCAACCATATATCATTTATAGTTAACTATTAATGCTTATTATTGTTAATAAACTTGAGAATTTTCCTTTAAATAGTTTATAAAGCTATTTATTCTATTAATATATGCACTTTTTTTCATCAAGAAGAATTTTCGAAAGTGAAATCATTTAAAAAACCATGGAATAAACTGGATGTTTGAAACAAGATGACTGAAACTGATGTGTCAAGCATAGCTTTTATGTCAGAACCCATGCCCATATACACACGGATTTGTAATTTTGAAATCAGACAGTCATTTTCTTGATTAACATTTCTTCTTGCATTTAGTACATCTATTTTTGTCATAATGAATCATAATGGAACTGTGAGTTTACTCTTATTTGTATTATGTTTGAATGTACATTGAAATTCCAACTGTTCTTCGGCAAACTTGTTTCTAACTAAAGTTAATCAAATCCAGAGTAAATTACAAAAAGTCTGCTAGGATTTTAACATTTAAACACCTTCTTCTATAAGAAATTTAAATCAAATTAAATATTTCAATGTGCAAGAAACGCATTAATATGGAATTTAATGTAAAAAAGATACTAACATATAACAATTTATATTATCAACTATTACAACAAATGAATGTTTTGAAATACAGCGTACTATAAAGCGAAATAATAACGAAACTTATAGATATTTTTTAAACTAAAATTTGCAAATAATATACTAAAGTTCTTTAGGGTGAAAAAATATCCTCCGCTTTTACTTTCAAAAGAACCGGAAAGTTATCGCACAATCCATCTGTAAACAAATACACATATTTTGAAGAGAAATTCAGATTCTGTAAATACGGTTCATCGAACCGAAACTTCTGTTAAATACGATAATTTACAATATATTTTTTGCAGACCATTTAAATGTAAACACTTTACACATACACAAACATACTATACAAAATAACGGTATCGTGCAAAACGCATTAAAAGCCCATATTCTCATATTATAAATTCGGCAATTTCTTAATATATGAAGCAAATTAGTTTTAATTCGTTTAAATAAATTCTCAATGCTTAAGCAGTTACAGCAGTACATTTCTCACCTCTTCGCGACGGCGAATTTCCTCCTGAAGGCGTGCCTGAGCTTCGTCTGCGGCTTCTTTGGCCACTTCTAGTTCTTCTTTCATACTGCGCATTTTTTTCTTTAAAACTTCGAGAAGTGTTCCTTGCTGAATGCTAGTCATCTTTTCAAATTTTGTAGTTGGAAAATTTAGAAAATATACAAGAAACCAACGGCGGAAATACAAATATGACACAGAATCGCGGATGACACGATAAGCAAGCCAAAAAGGGCGTGTTTCGGTGTTGCCAATATGGGAAATGTAATTCTTGCAGATAAAAGTTTTCGCCGGGTCGCGATAGCGTAATCAAGAAATATGTCGCAACCACCGTCGCTGTTTTTCAGCACATTTTGTTTGCGCACGACGCTACGCTACAGCGCGAAATGAAATGGCTTGAAATTAAGAAACTTCATACACGCGTATACACATACACAGAAAAAAAATTTTCAGAGCAGCAAATGCATAATAAATACCTTACCTAAACACTTTCCGTCTACAAATATATTAATGACTGAAAATGTTTGTAGGTTCGCCTTTTTTTAAATTATGAATAAAGCCTACAGGTATTTATTCTTTTCTCCCTTCTCTGAAAAGAATGAGCTTGCTTTTAAACAGTAAGAACTCGAAGTAATGCTAATTGAAGAGTTATATTAGTTTATATTTGATAACTAATTAAATGTGACATGCACTGATTTCATAATATACTTTAAAATATAAAAAATCTTGAAAATGTGTTACAGTGGCTCCCGTTTTTTTTAAGACACTTGTATTTTTGAAATATATTTGCATCAATCTTGTACTAAATCTTAAAACATTGCAAGTGAAGAAGAAAACAATCTGATTTGCTTAAGCAGATAGAGTAAGCGTGAGTTTAGGCATAAAGTGGGAGAGAGATCGAGTGAGAAACAAGAAAATAACTAATTAAATGTGACATGCACTGATTTCATAGTATTCTTTAAAATATTAAAAAAAAACTTGAAAAATGTGTTACAGTGGCTCACGTTTTTTTAAGACACTTGTATTTTTGAAATATATTTGCATCAATCTTGTACTAAATCTTAAAACATTGCAAATGAAGAAGAAAACAATCTGATTTGCTTAAGCAGATAGATTAAGCGTGAGTTTAGGCATAAAGTGGGAGAAATCTATTAAAGTATGTTAATAATAATAATAATAATAATATAATATATAGTTTAGATAAGTTCTGGCAACAGTGAGTGTTGTCGTGATCAGGAGATCGTGCTTCGCGATACTGTCGTTCAAAAATTGCTATAGTTTGTAATTCCAATAAAAGCATCGTATTTTTGCTCTGCTATTTGTTTTTCTCTTTATTTTTAGAAATACCTTTTTAGGTTATGTATTTTTAAGAAATGCTTTTTTAGGTTATGGGTCAAGCAAACTCCCATATTGCGTCAAATGTTTTGAATTGATGTTTTCTCGAAGAAACGGAACTCGTTAAGCCTAATCAAGTAAGTGTTTTTATTTTCGTTATAGCAATCGAAAGTTGTTTAGAAATCAAAGTATGGAATTATCTAAGGTCCAAGTAAAGCCTTTATCAGGTGAAAGCGATTGGCTTATATGGAAATACAGGATAAAATTTGTTTTAAATTATCATCCTGGTGCTTTAGAAATTGTAGAAGGAACTATAGTGAAACCAGAAATTCTTCCTGTAGATGCTCCGATTGCTCAACAAGAGAAATATAATGAAGCTGTTAAGAAGTTTCAAAATGCAAACACTAGTGCTATGATGGTATTAAACGAATTCCATGACGAAGAAAAACTCTGCAAAAAGTTATGAGATTTCAGACTGCTAGAGAAGTGTGGTTGGAATTACAAAAGTTATTTGAAGCATCATCAGAAAATCAATTGTATAATATATGCATGCAATTTTTTCAATTCAAGTGGAATGAAAATGATAATATGGCGGCTCATCTTTCCAAATTAAAAAACTTATGGAATGAGTTGAATTCAGGACTTGAAAAGAAAATGAAAATAAGTTACCTGACATGCTACTCAATTGCAAGATTTTAGATGTCTTACCAGAACAATACCATTTGTTTAAGTCAAGTTGGTTACTCTTGGGTGAAGACAAAAAAAGAACAGTTGATGAGTTAACAGCACAGCTTTGCTCTCATGAAAGAGAATTTAAAAGTCATGAGAATGGCAATACAAATGAACAAGTGGCATTAGTAATGTCAAAATCTGAAAAAAAACAAAAGCAATATAAAAAAGATAAATTCAGAAGAAAACCAAGAAAAGAAGATATATTGCAATTATTGCAAAAAGAAAGGACACTGGGTAAAAGATTGTAAACAGTGGATTGCTGATGGAAGACCACCCAAGAATAGGTTAATGAAAACCAATGAAGGAAATACAGGCAGTGTAATACTGATGTCCATTGACGAAGAGGCTAAGACTGATCGAACATCTTTTTGGATTGATAGTGGAGCTACAAGACATATCATGAATTGTTTACCACATATACTTTATTGACTTTATGAAGTTTGATAGTTCCTGTAGCATCAAGGCTGCTGGAAAAGAAACTTTAGTTGCTCTTGGTAAAGGCACAGTATGTGTCAAACAACAACTATTGGTAAGTAAAATCCAAAGAATCTACCTTAAAAGATGTTTGGTATGTCCCTGAGATAAACAGAAGAAATTTATTTCTTTACTTGCTGCTCAAGACAGAAATCAGAATAGTAAATTTATTTCAACAGCTACAGAATGCTGGTTAAAGGTTAATGGTCAAGTCAAAAAGTAGTGCTGTTTGGAACTCGCAAAGTATATGGTACCTTATACAAGGCAGCTATTCGAACCTAATTATGCCTGAGATAAAATTATAGAAGTGCATGCTGTTGAAGCAGACAATTCCTTGTTAGCAGTTATATCATCAAGAGATGGGGACATCAAGATAAACGTCACATTAAGAACATGCTTGAGAAAGAATTAGGAATTAAAATGCCATTTGAAAGAAAATTGTGTGAACCATGCATTTTTGGCAAAGCACACCGTTTATCATTTGGCATAAGAAAGCCAGCCAGCAAGCCTGGTGAATTAATTTCAGCTGATGTTCTGTGGACCTTTTGATGAATCTTTCCAGAAGAAAAGATACTTAGTTGTGTTTAAAGATAGCTACACAAAGTTTCGTATATGGGTATTTTATCAAAGAAAAATCTGAAGTTGTAAATATGTTACAAGCATATGCTTGCACACGCTAAAAAAATTTTAGGACATTCCAGTCAAAGAATTTCTCAGCGATAACGGAGATGAGTTTGACAATGACAAAAGTGCGTGCTAATTTTGCATTCTGAAGGTATAACTCAAAGACTAACAGCACCTTATCTCTCCTGAACCAAAATGGCTCTAGTGAAGAGACATACGTACAATAATCGAAATGGCAAGAACATTTAAGTACTCAAATTCTGAAGCTCATTTTCCTGCAGCAATGTGGGCTGAACTAGTCAACACTGCCATATATGTACTAAACAGAACTGGCAAATCATCAGTAGAAGGCATGAGTCCTTATGAGCTATGGTTTAAAAAGAAACCTCGAATTAAGCATCTTCGTATAGTAGGATCTGTGTGTTGTACCCATCTTCCTAAACAAAGAAGAAGGAAAATGGATAATAAGGCTACAAAAGCTTATTTAATTGGTTATGATGGAGACGAAAGATACCGACTATGGATCAAAGAAACCAATAGTGTGATCTGTTCACGGGATGTTATATTTAACGAAAAGCTCACAGATTGTGAAGAAAGGGTGCAGTTACCTATTCAAAGATCAAGATAGCCTAATTTCTGGCTCTGAACATCAACAAAATTCAGAAAAAGATAAGTCAGAAAAGTTTCTTTGTGAAGAAGATAATTCAGAAAAATAATACAACAAAGAAATATCTGGAAATATATCAGAAGAACATTCTGAAAGAGAAGAATGTGAAGATATTAATTTGCAAAATAATGCACTGTCAAGATTCTTAAGAGATAGAGCTGACTTGAGAAAGCCAAAGCGTTTTGAAGATTATATAATGATAAGTGAAGCTTTTATTATTGATTCTGAAGAACCTGAATCTTATGAAGAAGCGATCAACTGTAAGTGTTAATTGGAAAGAAGCTATGGATTCAGAGATGAAATCATTGATAGAGAATGAAACATGGAGTTTAGAAAAATTACCAAAAGATGCTAAAGTTATACCATGCAAGTGGGTTTATAAGATCAAAGGAATCCTGATGGATCTATTGATAAATTCAAGGCTAGACTTGTTGCCAAAGGATGTACTCAACGTTTTGGAGTTGATTATTATCAAACGTTTAGTCCAGTAACAAAGTTAGGAACTATTCGTTCAGTTTTGAGCATCGCAGCCAATGAGAAAATGCAACTTTCTCAGTTTGATGTCGGTTCAGCATTCTTATATGGAAAACTTGAAGAATCTATATACATGCAGCAACCAGAAGGATATAGTGACGGTTCGAAGAAAGTCTGTAAGTTGAAACGCAGTTTGTATGGACTTAAACAATCATCACGCTACTGAAATAAATATTTTGGAGATTTTGTGTCACAGTTAGGCTTCAAGACAAGTGAAGCTGATCCATGCTTATATATAAGAAACAATAGCGGCAAGAAGCTAATCGTATGTTTATATGTAGATGATGGTTTAGTAGCATCAACAGATCTACAAGAATCTGAAAAATTTCTCAGAGAATTGAAGTCGAGATTCAGAATCACAACTAAACCAGCAGTATACTTTCTTGGACTTGAAATTAAACATCTTGAAGATGGAAGTATTAAAATTAGTCAGCAAGCTTATGCAAGAAAAATTCTTCAAAAATTTGGGATGGAAGATTACAAACCAGTGTCAACTCCTATCCTGAAGAAGGTATAACTGAAAAGAAAAAGGAAGATAAATCAAACAGAGAAATTTTTCCTTATAGAGAAGCTGTAGGAGCTTTAATGTATCTTATGTTAGGCACAAGACCCGATTTAGCTTACTGTGTTGGAATTCTATCACGTTACCTAGAAAATCCTTCGAAAGTGAAATGTGTATTCAGATACATAGCAGGTTCTCTAACTAAAGGTGTTACATACAAGAATAAATACAAACCAGGAATTCTAGAATGCTATAGTGATGCAGATTTTGGAGGCTGTCAAGAAACAGGAAAATCAACGAGTGGAGTAGTGATATTATATAGTGGTGGAGCTATATCATGGATTAGCCAAAGGCAAACCGTTGTTGCAAC